GTATTTAATATGCCTTATAGAACCACGGTTACAGGATACTTCGTTTTAATCTTCTGCCTAGACCATGCTTTAAGTCTAGGTTTATTTGTTTGTCTCTAGTTTGGTTTTCTTACGACGTACTTAGTTTAGATTTCCTATCGTTGGAACACTAACTATGGGACTATCTAAGCATAAGTCACAGAATCGCAGACTATTTTTGGTACGCCGTGATTTCCTTTAAGTTGTAGGTTTCTGGCTATTCCGTTATACGAATTGAAACAGAGCGAGCACGCGATTTCTGTGACTCTGCCTGTTGGCCGCTTGTCTGAGCTACGATTGATCTTGTGTTTGGCGCACACTAGAGGTCCCACTAACAAACTGCTAAGACGCATGGCTCAATAGTTTATATACACTTTTAGATCACGTTGGTTACCGTTTTGGATTACGTCGATTGTCTACGCCGCTAAGCAGAGACTGTCGTTGTACCAGCGGGATTGGTGGTGGTGCGTCCCTCGGGATACGTGTGTACATCACACAAGCTTTGTGGGGTAAAACACAGGAAAAAATACACCGTTAAGTGTGGGGCGACCAAATAGCCTGTAGCTACAATGTACAGTAATGTGCAGTACTGTTATATTTTGTGTGGTAGCCTTAAAAAGGCTCTGTCATATGGCATCTCAGTCACTTAGGAGACACAACAAATCCAGGTTACAAGCGTAAGCCTTACCGAATAAACTGAGGAAACGTCGTTTGTGGTGTGCCAACTTCTCGTTGGGCCTACTTCGAAAACATCAGTACCGTTGGATAGGAATCGGTTACCCGAATCGAACATGTGGCACAAGATTTAAAGGGATAAATCCAAAGTAACACAACACAAAATTATCAGGCAGGTGCGCACTTGGTTGGTTATTGTTTATCTAGGCAACTGGCGGTGTCGGTACGCTGCTAGACGTTCAAAACTACAGGCAACGTTTTTGCAAGGGGTTGCCCAGCCTTCGTCTGGTCTGAAGCGCAGCATAGTGAGTAGGACTAGTGACTACTCTCCGTTACGTGTTACCCTGGCGTCCACCATTTGTTCAATCGTTGCCACCATTCTTTCCTGCTTTTGGGTTAGTTTAATTTCGTTCTTGGCCATTGTGATGGTTTACATAAAATGCAAAACCAGAGTGAGTCATGTTTGCTATTTTTCAGTGTTATCTCATTTGCTGATAGCTCAACCTCTTTAGGACGTAATTACTAAGGCTATTGGGCAAAACAATCCCTCATTGCTGTTTTCTGCGTTTAAACCCAGGATCCAAGCTCTATAGCATTATATGTCCCTCGCACAGAAACAGCTTAGTGTACACCCGAGATACGTACTACTATTGGGTAGTTTTATTAAACAAACTATACCTCTCCATTTGGCGGTTGTATATCAATTCATGACGCGATGGTTCACGTTGGTCTGCAATTGATCTGCGGATCTCTTGAGTTTCATCAGGGGTGACAAGATGAAAGATGATGAAAGATCACAATTCGTAATGTAACCTGATGTTGCTAACTATTGTGTTTATAATGCGAATCAAAGTATGCGCATTTGCGTTGCGGGCTTACTCACGAAGTTGGACACTGACGTGAGTAAAATAACCGCCCAAATTGTCTTTCATAGCTTCGGTTTGTGTTTTTATTCATGCATATTTTATACGCGAAGCCACATCTGCGGGCGCAAACGAGAGTGGGATCCACCACAGGAGCTGGAACACTACCTCAAAATTCTTAGAATTCCTATCAATGGATTGCAAATAGAACGGGAATGTCATGCATGTTTAGTTACCCCAATATTTTTGGAAGTACTCTGGAATTCGGAGTCTTTCAGCTTAGATGAAAATGTGGCACTGCGGCCGCATACTTTTTCCTAATTGCACACATCACCTGTGGAATGAATCATGTGTGATTTCAGCACCGTTCCCTTTGTATCCCACTGTCTTATCTCGGCGGTTTCTCGCCAAATTGCTGCCCACGCTGAGATGCCACACACACCCAACGCAGGTGCAGTATAAGAAAAATGTGTGTTTTACCGCTCGAACCTCAAAATTAATACAGTCAACAGCACATAGATGGTTGGATTTATTTATATTTCTGTACAATAAGCCACATGACTTCCTTGATACGGCACACAGGGAATTAGCTGAAGAAGCGTTGGTATGAATGAATTGTGCAAATATCAAGCCAACATTTCCGCATAAGTAGATTTACCGCAAAAACAGTCGGATAAATACTACAACACTGGCCAAATCCCTTCGATTTTCTACTTACTGACCATGTGTAAAGTCTATGTGTGCAGGACTGAACACTAGTGTATTCATTTACTCGTGTGGATGCCTACGATACCCATCTAAACTACCGTCGATCTCTGACACCCATGGAAGCACATTTATTTACGCGCCTTGTCTGTTGCTTATGGTCACTTCTGCACTTTGACTACACCAACTGATTCCAGTATTGTCTTTGGGTTACGTTGCTGGCGCTTGTAAAAATACATTAATTTCGATTAAAATGTTCAGAGAAATTAGGCTGCTCTCCATTTGCCCGTTGGACCACACAAATGACTAAGTCTAGAAAGTCAGCTTTATCTTTTAAAGCTAGCATACGTGTGATGGGCACACCACACAAACCAACGCTGCAAGTTTTTCATCCGTATGAGAAGTTAGTGGATCGATAGCCTCGAACAGTGCGTTGCCATTGCTTGAAAAAACGTAACGCATAGTTTTAAGACGGTTGCAGTACTGCGTGAGTTTGTGGGCATTGGCAAGCAGTCATTCGGTCATTTACCTCGACGAGTATGACGCACATGGTGTTTTTCGCAGAATTCCGTTTCATCTCCCTTCTGTGTGCGCAGGCAGCACTAGTGCCTACACACATTGCGTTTCATCTGCAGTGACAACGCATTCACTCGAACAACTCCTAATTCTTTCACGTGACTGTTGATTTTCTCTTTACTCTAATCTCATCGAAACCACGTAGAACCACGTATTGGTCATTCTCTTGTCTCAACTTTTGTGTGCAAATCAGCGCACTCATCACAGCCTATGCTAATTTAACCTGCAGTAAACTTTTGAAGCTATGATTGCTCCACTGTGTTTGACTCCTATTAAACATTGTATTCGACTCGAGTTGGTAGTTACTACGACAAACTATCAATTGAGTTTGTGTTACAGATTTTCGTTATCCAAACTTGCTAAATTTACGAACATTGAGAGAGTTTAATATCACTGTGCAACTGACGTGCGTCCTGTCGATCGTCTCAGGCTGCAGGCACATACATTGTTAGAATTTGCGTAAGACTATTTAAGTCTCTAGTCTTTTAACTTACCAGTACGCGAGTTTAGCCGGTACACACAGAAACACTTAACCCGAAGCCAAGTTAACTCCGCTAGTATGTATCTATGGCCTTCTTCTGAGAGGGATTTAACTAATCCACTACCAAATAAACATTGTGTCTAGTAAGATCACTTTATTTTTGGTTCCTTAATCAAGTCCTTACACAGCCGCAGCGCTAAAATGTCTCTTTAAGGACTCGAACTGATGGCAAACACAAGATGAAACATGACTCTCGTCCGCGAAATTTTAGTTGACTGTAATAACGCGTTTCACAACTGGATTCGGGAGCTTTTGTATCCTCACCGCACGTCGCTGTGGATCAATTGATACCACAAGATAGCAGTTGCTTGTGGAGGATAACAACGTTCTATAGCTGTTTTCGATGAAGAGAAAAACCGCACAGTTGTCACTTATGACTGCAGCCCACGGCTTGGGGAACACAGCCAGCTACAGCTGATGTGTCGGTGCACGTCTCTATGCTCAGCGGGAAAAAGCACATCGGATCCCGCTCATAGGTGATGCATTGTTTTTTTTGATTCCATAGCGATTGGCAAAGAAAGTTGATATGTTGCAGTCTTCCCTGTTACCGTTAACCGAATTTGTTCGCTACTTGGTTAGGTCAATCCTAGGATTTCTTGAACCGGAAACCAACTTACTCTCGTTTAAATCGTATGTTTTATCCTAGAATGAATTCAGCAAAGCATTCACAGATCGATTTTAAAACCCACCATCCGTGTGTATACTAACATTGCACCAAATAGCAAATACCTCTGTTTGATCACGGCGAATATGTAGCTTAATTCCGCCGATTGCAGTGTTTCACTTCGGGTGCACTCGATTTGGTTTTGCACCACCAACGCAGATAGTCATTTGCGTTCCTCGATTGTCCTTAACCGGTAGCACATGCCGCAAGGTCCTCGGCTTACCTGTGATGAAATGCAGTTATTATGTGTCCTAAGGAAGATAATCCACACGTATATGTTAGGGGATCACAGTAGTTTCGGCACCAGCTTTGTACGCCTAGATATATGTGGCTGTTGAATGGGAGAGCCCGATCGCCAGTATTTGTGAGCCGTGCCTAGGGCTAGTGGGTGTACATCTAACGTTTCTAGTTACTGCGCCTTTAAATGATTCGTGATGGGTTTCTGGTAACCATTTTGTTCACACAAGCCGACTTCCTCTGTTCACTAGCACCAAACGGCCGTATTCTATCTTGGCTCTTGTTTCACCCGCGGCTGCCATTCCAATTATTTTCGAACAAACTTGTGCGTGCCCTCCTTCGAAATAGTTCAACGAGCGCTACTGAGTACTTCCTATGGTAAGCAAGCACACGGAAACGCAAGGGACACAGTAGTAATGTGTACACACTACCAAGTCATTGTTTCGTTGGATAACATGGACATTTATTCACACACATGAGTCACGTGCATGATCAGACAGGCCGTGGTTGTGAGAACCAATCACAACAGTCCTCCACCACTAGATTAAGGGTATCCAGTTTGATAGTGTTCTACGCTGCGCTTCACACGAAATGATCGCCATGACTGTATAGAATGCTCAGCGTGGTCTTCATTTAGCAATGCATCTGGCGGTATTCTCAAGTGTGCAGACGATGGGCAATTTGCTTGTTCCTCTTCTGGATTCACGGGCTGTCGTCACACTTTGTGCAAATGACTTCGAAGCATTCGTACTTCTTCCAATTCCGCTCCCACGACACTACGTCTGGTTGATCCAGTAACTCCTCGGATCCAAGTTTTATCCCTTTGCCACAGTTTAACATACACTCTGTCATCTGCCTCGACTACACGATCCTTCATTTTCATGTCGTAGCGTTGCTTCATCATAGACTGGCGTTTACTGACGGTTCGATGCAGATTGGGTTTAATCAGATCCAGTCGAGGGCGCAGTCGTCGTCCCATCAGCAGTTCACACGGTGAATGATCCGTGGTAGTGTGTGGCATAATGCGACATTGCCATAGGAGTTTGTCCATGCGGGTTTGTAAGGTTCCGGACCGTCCTTTGGCCACAGCCAGTTTGATTGTCGCGACCGCTCTCTCTGCCAGACCATTGCACGAAGGGTGATATGGTGCTGCGAGAACACGCTCTGTTCCATTTTGACGTAGGAATTGTGCAAACTCGTCGCTAGTAAATGTCGGGCTTTAGCTGAAACAACCGTACCTTGTACACCATGTATAGAAAATATATACCTTAAGATATGCACAGTGGTCGACTCAGTTATGGATGTGGTTGCCCGAGCTATGATCCATTTGGAATATGTGTCCACTACAACCAGAACCAGAGAACCGTCGATGCGTCCAAATAAGTTATTGCCTAATTTGTCCCACTGGTGCGAGGGCCATTGTCATGGAGACCCTGGCACATGTTTTGGGAATGATTTATTTTTTTGACAGGCAGCATACAATTGTACGAGTTGTGACATCTCATGATCGACTTCCGATCAGCAGATGTAGTTACATGCTAGTGCCTTATCTTTTTATTTCCTTGGTGACCCATGTGAAGTTCCTGTAGGATTGTTTGACACTACCGTTTGGGGACGATAACTGGGGAGCCCCAAATTCTGCAACCATCCTCGAGGCTTCATTCATCTCTCCGAGTGTGAAATGCTCTTAGACATTCATCTATCCAGTCCGGTTAACCAGTTAAGATATAATCACGCACCTTCGGCAGCTCCAGGTAATTCCTTGTTTCCGATTTTATTTCCGTTACTGTCACCGACGAATCATGCAACCAAGATATTACTTTTCCAATTCTCTCAAAGCTGATATCTCAGAACCTCCTGTAATGGAAATCGGCTAAGAGCATCGGTACAATGATTCTCCTTCCGGGGAAGATATTTTATTTGATACTGATACCCAGTGAGTGGTATGGCCCAGCGAAGCATCCGGTGCAATGCCATTTGGAGTATCGCTTTTGATTAACCCAGAATTCCCAGTAATGGCTTGTGGTCCTTGTGTATTTCAAACCACTGCCCGAATAGGTATTGTTGAAAGTGCACAACCCCAAAAACGACAGCCGAAGCCTCCTTGACAATTTGCGCGTAATTTCGATCTGTCTACGATAGGATACGAGAGGTAAATGCAACCTTCGCGTCAGGTTGTAATAGGGCGGCTCCGACTCCGTACGGTGATGCATCACATGTCAGCGTCATGTGGGGTCAAAGTTGGTCAAAGTTGGTGGACTGATCAATACACTCTTAGCTTCACGAAAAGTCAATTTCTCCGTCGCAGACCACAAGCACTGAGTGCCCTTGCATACTAAACGATGCAACGGGTGTAACGCTGTGGCTGATTGCCGAACAAACCTTGAGTAGTGTTGTACATTCTCAAGCACGACCTAAACTCGTGTTGATTTCCTGGTTGTGGTGCCTCATGGATAGCCTGGATTTTCCCTTTAATCGTCTTCAGTCCCTCAGCACTTATACGGAAACCCAAATAATCAACGTGGGGAAACAAGGATATGCATTTTTATGTTTCAGCCTCAAATCATTCTTCTTCAGGTGGTCCAGAACAATTCGCAGAGTTTGCGGATGTTCGTTAATTGTCGCCCCCGTAACCAATATATCGTCTGAGTATACGAAAGCTTTAGGCAACCCTATTATGATATCCTCTATTGTTCTCTGGAAAATGGCCGGAGCTGAATGTATGTCAAATGATAGTCTATTGTACGTGAACAGACCGCGATGGGTACTGATCGTCGTTATTGTTTTGGCGTCTCCGGATATTTCGAGGTGCTCATAAGCGTGCGCGATCAAAGGTTGAGAAATGCCTTCTGGTACCGAGCTGCGCTTAAACTTCCTCCATTTTAGAGATCGGATATTTTTCAGCCGGTATACTGCAATTGACAGTTATTTTATAGTCCCCACATATACGATTCGATCCATCAGGCTTGAGTACCGGAACATTGGTGAAGTCTTATCCGAAAACTGTACTGACTCTATGACGCCGCTCTTCTGCGGGCGAGCAGGTTCCTATTCTACCTTTGATCGCATCATATACGGCAGCGATCGAGCCTTGATGAATCGCGGTTATGTGCCAGGTGGAATGTAGATATTAACTTGTCCCCCGGTGAATTTTCCTTTCTCCGGTATCTCAAATACTGGTGCATATTGCTGGAAAGGTGTTGGTATCTCCGATGATAAGGAAAGATGGTTTATCTGCAGAATTGGAGGTTGACGGATCCAGTCGCTACCCAATAGATTTGGACTATCTCCAAGTGCGAGGTAAATGATTCCTCGGGTTGTCGATCTTCCACGTGAAATCTCAACGTCCTGCACGTACATGAGTTTCAATTCACCACCGGTGTAGGTACGCAATCGTAGAGGCGCTTGACACAGTTTGGTGTGGCTCTATGGAGCTAATTTCTGTGACCTGGTTCGTTCTTTGCACAGCGTTACTGCACTACCCGTGTCAATTTCGGAATGCATTGGAATCTGGTTAACACAAATAGGCACGCGAAATGGCGGTTGGGCACTTGGGGTAGTTGTGTTAAATATACATTCCTCTGCTTCCATAACAACAAGTTGATTGTTTACTACCGGAGAACATGGGTTTGTACTGGATCGGCGCCTACGTGCTGTGTTCCCGTTTTTGGCATTTATTAGAAACCGTCTGTGCATGTTTGCATTCTCTGGGATGACTGTGCCGCATGCCGCTGCGATAACTGTTGAACGAGTGCTTAGTGCTTTTATCAGCTTTGTTGACTTCGGCCGTGACATTTTCAGCACATGTCTTTGAATTGAGCTGTAAATTCTGTAGTAACTAGGCCTTGCTTTCAGCAGCCTCCATGCCCGTCGCAACTTCATGGGTACTTTCCAGCGTCAATGCGTTATCAGGCAACAGCATCGCTGAATGCGAACCTTTTCTCACGCCGACCACCAGACGATCCCGGATCCTGTCGTTTCGCTACTTACCGAAATTACAATACTTTGTCAACTTCCGAAGCGCAGCTACCAGGGAAGCAACTGACTCCCTCTCACCCTGAACTCGGGTATTGCGTTTGAATCGCTGCACAATAACAGATGGTTTTTGTTTATGGTGATTGGAAAGCAGTGTGACCACTTCAGTAAATTGTTTGGTGCATGAAAAACCGGGAGTCACCAAGCTGCAAATTAACTCGCATGATTTGGACCACAGATACTCAGTAGAATATTCACTTTACGGTTGTCGCTGACGCTTACATTAGCGGCGAAAAACAGTTCATACGCACAATGTAATGATGCAAGGAACCGGATACTTCAGTGTGCTCTTTCAATGTTCCTATGGAGACCATGGGTTTGTAGTGTACCGAAAAACGCACCTTCACTATTTCTCAACATTGGATTTTACGGCTGTTTTAACCTCCAAAACGTTCATTTGTTTTACTGACGGCACATCCGTTGACACAAATCGTTTTGGTGAGAGCCTTGCTGCACCGTTTCTCCCTCTGGTTGATTCGCTTCCTACTTTTGTAGCCTGCACAATATACTTTGGGTTCAGTCACCTCCAAATTTATACTGTCCCGTATTTGACACATCACTTACGTGTCATTGATTACCGACTAGTATCCCAGGCTCCACCCAACAGTTGGTGATCCCGCACCGGAACACGCCGTCCGCCATTTTGAATTTTCCTTCTGGTGAGCTCATTCCATTGATTTTCTGATTTATTACTTCTGCTCATATTGTTTTCTTACCTACCTCACTTGTTATTCGCTTTTGCAATGGATTATCCAGAGAACGAACCATATCCATACGCGGTTAGCGTCGTTGAACCTGACCTGGTCAGTGCAGTTGCGTTAGCCCCTCCAGGTTTTTGGGAGAGTGATATTTCGTTATGGTTTTGCACTTCGAGTCCGTTTTTTAAATTCATAGGATATACCCTGATTTCGCCATGTATACTCAGCTAATATCTCGCCTTCCTCAGAGTATATCCTCCCAGGTGACAGACATCATATTTTGCCCCCCTCTTGTAATGAAATACGAGACTCTTAAACAGGCTGTTACTTAGCGAAGCACACCTTCTGACAAGATCCGTCTGCAGCAAATATTTACTGATCTGAAACTAGGAGATAGGATGCCCTCAGCCATGTTGCGCGAAAAGCAACAACTCATTGGCACGTCCAACATGGACGTAGGGATTCTCCGCGAGCTGTGGATGCAACGCCTTCCTGAAAGCACTCAGGCTATCCTTACAGTAGCAAGTGACCTGCCACTCACAGCAACTGTAGATCTAGCAGACGGCGTCATCGAATGGCACTAACCAGAGACGAAAACCAGAGCACCCAAGCAGCTTTGTGCTGGCGTAACCACAGCGACAAGCGCGACTGGCCAGCCATCGGCAATAGACGCATTATCATCGCAGATAGCATCGCTTCAGCGCCCGATCGAGGAACTCAATTTAAACCGTAAGCACCGCATGCGCACTTGATCCTCGCCCCGTTGCACAAAGCTTGATGCCACAGGTTACTGCTTTTATCACTCGCGTTTAGGTAATAAAGCCCGTAAGTGCGTACAGCCACGAAGCTACTCCAGTTGCATCCAAGAGCCTTCCAAAAGCAGCAGTTACAGATTCTACCGCCACACCCACGGCTGATGTGTGGAGCTGCGCTGCACTGGTGCTTAGCATATCTCTCGGTTTCTCCACCGCGACCCATACATTCATGAAATACACTCATAAACCGTAGGAAGCACTGTGCATCATATGTGCAAAAGTTCACGAGTCCGTATCGAGTTCACTGAAACGGATGCAGATAGAAGACCTGAGCAAATCGCATAGCATAGAAAATCTGCTCGTTGTTAGAACTAAGCTCACAAACCTGACAAACATTACCCCCCACCCGAATTCCAAGCAATATAATGAAGCTGGGCTTCTTCGGGTTGTGCTATACTCTGTCGATAAGATGGAAGCTCTCACGCTTTCGACAGAACGAATGCTGTTTAGTCCGCTTCTTTCCAAAAGTTCCGTGCGTCCAGGGCAAGCGAGCGAAGCAGAGC